AAAAAAAAAAGGTAGGGATTTTCCTATGAAATGCTTTTCCTTTTTTCCTCTACTTAGGAAAAACTGATACATGTAACTACTAAATGTGTTTTATAATGGGTAATATAGTCTAGACACCTAATGTTTAAACAGTTCATAAACAGGATATATTTGATCCTTTTCCTGTTTGTTTAGTTTCTTGTTCCTTTTTTTAAGTGCTAACAAAATATATTTATGAATTCCTTGCTTTGTTAGATACTGAGACCTGGGAGAGAAGTATTTTTCTTTAAGTAGTATCATCATTTATTTTTCTGCTTGCTCTTTATCTCTCTCTGTCTTCTTTTCTTCTGCCACTGCCTCTTTTTTTTTTTTTAATCACTCTCTCTCTAAGGTGTGTTCCCGTCTCCCTGTGGGCATCCCCCTGGGCTCTCTCTCATACACATACACAGAGTGCATTAGGGTTGCTGTCATTTACAATACAACCCCATTGTCCCCGCCAAACAATGGCTACAAACAAACAATTGACATGGAAATGGAGAGATGTAGCTCATTAGCGGGCGCTGCTTGTTTTGTTAATGGATAAATGGGCGGCTTCAATAGGCCAGCCCTAAAACCCCTGCCTCAATATGGAGAAGGCTGATTAACAGGAAACCACAGGGAGGGAGAGCAGTGACAGAAAAATGCAGCTTCATTCTCCCCTGGGTCGTATGTGGCTGTGTTTGGGCAAGGGGGGGGGGGGGCAAATTTAGGACTTTGTGTGTGTTTGTGCTTAAAGATTGAGTCGTTGGAAAGATGAGTTTATGTTAACTTCTGCTGCAGTGGCTTAAGTCATGCAGGCATTTTCATGTTTATTAAATTCAGTCAGTATATTCTCTTATAACTTTTCCCATCTGTTTTCAGTGCCGTTCAGTTGCATTCACTCTTGTGTTTTTCTGGTATTTTGATCTACTTTTGGTCCCCTATTTTTCTGGAAATCACCCGCTGACATTCCTGTCATTTTAAATTACCTGTCCAGGATGTTTGTTTACTACTGCCTGGTTACTGTATGTAGTGATGGCCTGCCCAGTGAGGGTGCTGCTTGGTGGGGTCATCATCTGTTAAGTGCTTGCCAATTGACATCATCAAGGTTTTTGTGTGTGTGTGTGTGTGTGTGTGTGTGTGTGTGTGTGTGTGTGTGTGTGTGTGTGTGTGTGTTTGTTATCAGGGGGATCAGATTGGATCGACCTGAAAATGGCATTTCTGCCATTGCTGTGATGGTGACAGCTCAATACTGTATCTGTCTAGAGCCAAGATGGTGCGTGTGCCTATCTCTGTGCTCCTAGCTCCATAACGCAGTGAAAGGTGTACATGCTTTTCATAACAAAACTTTTTTATTATTTTTAAGACTTGTTTTGTTTACGTTTTAGGGCTTGGTGAAGTACCAGGTGTGTACAGATCATAGTTTCATGCATGATGATTTTTCAGATGCGCTCAAGTACCATCATGAGTGCTTTAGTCAGCAAGGAGTAAGAACAACAAGTAGGAAATTTACAAGTAGGAAAACATCACTGAACGCAGTGATTTCTTAAGCATAGGCAGTTTATTACACTAATGATTGCGCATTTATAAGGTTACGCCATCATTGCTGGGTAATACTAGCTAGTTAGGGTCATTGAGGCTGAGCAGTCGCACATAAGTATAGACCATTCGGTGACCTTCTGGCAACCTCTGGTTGCTAGGGAAAAATATATATTCTCAGTTTCATTGTCACAGGGTGAAAATGGCTGCAAAGCTAAACCTAAAACATCCTTGCGATTGATTTGGTTGCTAGCGGACTGCAGAATATATACTTTTCTCTAGCAACCATTGGTTACCGGGGGTCACTGACTGGTCTCTAGTCTACTGGTCGCCTGTGTGAATGGGGACTTCCCGCCACCATTTGCAACCAGTTGGGGCATACTTATTTTTCCCTCTGACTGGTGTTTGCCAGATGATTGCTGACTTGTCTCTAGGCCAAAGAGCGATACAATAATATCAGAATCATTTTTATTAGCCACGTTTGTATACACATAAAAGGAATTGGGCTACAGTTATTTCTTTACTCTCAGTGTATGTAACAGAGTAGACGACAGACAATACTGACATCACCATATCAACATACAGTAACAACATGTATAGCATGTTCAGGTACAGAGTGCAAAGATTTTGGAGTAAGTTACCAATTAAATAAAGGATGGAGAAGTAGTTACTATATATACAGTGTGCATATGGCAAGCAAAGCAGTCATATATATCTAAATAACAGTTATAACATCAATACCTTCTTAAAATGATGCAATGATGTGGAAATAAATGCGTGATTTTTTTTTTCTTTTTGAATATGTATCTGTCCAAAAGTCCCTGAGAGTTTTTTTACTCATGTGTGCAGGAGCGGGATGCTGAGCGGCGAAGACAGCTGAGAGAACGAGCCAGGCAGCTGATAGCCGAGGCTCGATCCGGAGTCAAGATGTCCGACATGAGCCTGCTGGATCCATCAAGCAGTGGTAAAGGTGGCAAGGCGGGCACTGCTGGAGGTCAGCTCACACAGCAGCAACAAACATGAAGTCTTGATAGAGACATCATTTCCATTCGCACTTTATTTATCCACATTAGCACACTTTCAGAGTTTTGTTAAAAGCATTTGTAATTAACTAACATTCACTAATGCTCATGGGCTGTAATACAAAAGAAATGTCACAGTAGCATGCTTTCGACATGCACTCACTTTCTTCATCCACACATGCTAAGACACACACATTTCCATTATGCTCTCTAAAGGGGTTCTACTTAATCCTCAGAGAAAAACAAAATGTCATTTGACAACAGCCGCGGGTCTAAAAAGCACCACCCTTATATTCAAACAAGCAGTTTGCCCTGCAAGTCCTCCCTCGTCTCGTTCACCCAGTAATTGTTAATCAACACAACGCATTGTGTGGCCAAATTATGCTCAAAACACCAGACACTTCTAATAACAGCTTGCAGAGGTAGCAAATGCTGCCCGTGTGCATTTCCCACTGCTTTCCATTTCCTTGAAATTGGGGTTATTATCGTAATGACCATTATCAGGCCTCCAGAGTCATTTGTTTATGATTCCTCAACATTACACCCCTCTTTCTGGTTATTCTCTTCAGGTGGATCAGAAAAGGGAAAGAGGAGACAGCTGAGGACAAAGAGTGAGAAGTGGAAAAGGCAGTTAAACTAACTTGTGTAGTTGTGAAGAGGACAAAGAAAGACAAAGTGTTTGACTGATTAAAAGCAAAAGAAAAGTAGAGAATATTGGGCTTTTCTGATGAATTAAAAGGTTTATCAAAATGGTTACCAGGCAGTGGTTTATCGGCTAAGCACTGATGTTCTTGAGATGATTAGACAACAAAAAGATAGGTCAGAGAAAATACCTAAAAGACTGAAAATGGCGATGCACTTCTTTTATGCTCAGAAAAGAAGAAATCAAAAACAAATAATCCCTTAACGAGGAGTAAACATTCAGCGACATGTCGGCAGAAGAAGAGGAGATGGACAGTGAGGCAGAGGGCGGGTAGCACTTGATTTATTTGCTCTTTCAGCTTTTCTGAATTGGACTAATTGTTGATCTCATTAAAAATGGAGTTGGAGGAAAGAACGGAACAAGGGAACAGGAGGAGGAGGCGGTGGCGGCGAGGAGAAGAGAGAAATGCTGTGGGCTGTGATACACAAGGCCTGCCGAGCAGAACGGCTAATCCTAGCCCCTCTCTCTCTTCCTTCTCTCTCCCTCTCCTCCTTCAGCGCCATTGACAGTCCTTTAAGTGCAGCTCGGGCTGCCCGCAAAGAAACTTTCCAAACTCCATCACCATGGCCTCCCATTAATTAGGCCTCAGCCAGCCACGCAGGAAGGGCGCTTGCTAGCACGCTCCACATCGCAGCTAGCAAATTAGAAAAAGGAAAAAAAAAACACACACACACACAAAATGCTGTTATGTTGACTCCCTCCTCTTCTTTCTTTGTTCTTGGTCTCTCCCCCACCAAGTAGTAAATAACGGAGGAGGGAGCTTGCAACACTGTGTACTGATTATATTGTTTTAATCCATGGTGGGTTATCCATGCAGTTCCATTTGAGTTTCTTCTAACGTGCTTTTCTTGTTTTGTTCCTAATGTGGAGACACTGTTGTTTCTATTGAGCCCCTGTGCAAATTTAATAGAATATACACTCATGTTTTTGTGGTTTTTGTTCCCCCTTCGTCTTTTATCTGGAAAAAGAAAGGCGGGTAACAGATCCTTGAATTGGTGGAAATTAAATTGGGGTCTCATTTTCACTTTGTGTGTCAGATATTTTTGCGAGCAGGCACTAAACCCACACAGATCGATGTACTCGGAGACCTTTCTTGTCTCTCTTTTGGAGTTTGCTGCATTTTCATGCCAATAAATAAACGTATTAACTAGTGTATCTGTGTAGATAGAAAGAAAATGTGCACAGAGCCCTAAAACTTTCCATCAGTTTTCTGCAAACAAAAGCTATCATAATATATTTACTGTTGTTTTGAGAGCACAATGTGGATGGAGATGGTTAACAACAGGATCCTAACACTTATTCTTATCACAGACTAATATTATCACAAACTAACCAAATGTCTCTCTCTGTACTCCTCCTTTATTCTATATTGTGTTCTCTTAACAACTTTCTATTTTCTAAACTTCATCGTTGCCCTTTTTTCTTTACATCATCACCATCTCCTTTTTCTTCCTTCCCGCTCATTCTGCTCCTTACTTCATTTTTTGCCTCCTTTCTACTGTCCAACTCCATACCTACAGATGTTTTGGACGGAGTCAGAAGTCATCATGAGGATGTTGGTGTTACTGGTGTAAGGGGTGAGGATGAGGGAGATGTGAGGGCTGAGGAGGAGCAGTTCCACTTTGGTGGTGATGATCATGCTGTTGATTCCGCTGCCACATCTGCATCTGCACTGCCTACTAACCTGCTGCCACTGGAGGCTCTTCCAACTACTTCCAGCACCCAGGGCCCCCTGGAGCTTACTAACCCCAGCTCTGAGCTAACCTTTTTGGGTAAACTAACTGGCTGACGCTGTGCAGTTTTGCATGACTCGCTGTCTTCTTTTATTTTTCTAACTAATTCATGACCTGCCTGGACATTCTTTAACATCCCTTTTAGTACCTAAATCCTCTTTGCCAATCGTTCACTCAAGTTACATTGAATTACACTGTCTTCAATTAATTACCATTTTAACCTAATATCTAACAGATAATGCATTTCCAAAGATACTTCATTTTTGATTTACCAGATAGTGAGAAGTTGTTATCCATCTTTTTGTAATTTTATCCATTAGATTTTGTGCCTGTAGCTCTCCAACATGATTTTAGGTCCCAAACATAGCTGAGAAGAATTTACTGCCCAAACCTAACCCAGAAGACTTTAGTGCATAAACCTAACCACTGGTTTATGCACTAGTTGTAACATTTATAACCAATGCGCTGGTTGAGCTATGCAGGTATTTAATTATTACCAGGCTGCTCATTCACTTGTTTTTTCGTTTAGTCACTTGCCTGAGCCCAAGCTTTTCATCTTTTCAGTTCATTTCCACAAACTACTCTTCACGCACTCTAACTTGAAGCTGCCATACTGTCGGTGTAAAACTGTTGGGGTGTTTTTATGTTTTCTTTTATAATTTAAAAAAAAAGTAATTAAAAACTCTGAAAACTGCTCCCTAGACATAAACAAAACAAAAAATATCTTCAGTAAAGCATTTGCTCAAATCTTCAGAGGTAAACTAATTACTTTGTTTGTATTTCATTTACTTTATTTGCCTCTTTAATTTCCTGTCGATGTGAGATAGGTGAGAGTACAGTGAGGGGACCAGAAGAAACAGACATTAATAAAAAACAGACAAATGCGTCCTCAAGCTTTGAAGTTCAGTATCTCTGCACTATTTTTGTTTCACAGTTGTGTGTAAGGTTTTTTGTTTTTTTGTTTTTTTTTGCTGGTAGTAATTTTTATGTAGTCTTGAAAGCAATTGATTGTGGTGATTGTAACACTAAGTGGCTGATACCACTGTTTATTGTGTTAATATTTCCACTGAAAATGGGAAGTCAAGGTTATTCAGCCTACCTGCTCCATTGTGTATATATGGTGTATTTGTACGTTTGTATTCAAATGCATGTGCCTGTGCTTGGCATCTGTATACATGCATCCTCACACTTGTGTGTGTGTGTGTGTGTGTGTGTGTGTGTGTGTGTGTGTGTGTGTGTGTGTGTGTGTGTGTGTCACGGGGGGAGGTGACACATGAAACGGTCGCCCTCCTGTTCTTTCATCTTCTTCAGTGCAGTGCTCTGGCCTGGCAGGGGAGCTGTGGTTACCAGTCCCTGGAAAATAAAGCTGTTTGCAGCTACTGGCAAGCAGAGACAGAGAGGGAGGGAAGGAAAAGGTTAAAAAACAAATTAAGAATGGGTGGAGGTAAAAGTAGGAAAGAAGTCAGATTGAGAGACAGAATGGGAACGAGATTATTAGATTGAGAAATATTCTTGGAGAAAATTAGTGCAAATGCATTTTAACATATTAAGCACATGTTAAACTGGTTCTTCAGCTCCATATTTTTTATTTTTGAAGATCAAAATCACCTTCATTTATCTGTGAGCGTAAGGGGTAGGATTAGACTACATGTACACTCAGAACCTGGGCGATAATGCAAACAGGATGTAAGACTTCCTACTCTTTCCACGTGTTTGTGTATACTGTATATGTTGTATTCTCACATATGTTTGTTGTGTATATATTCCTTATCTGTGGGTTTGCCTTAGTGTGTGGATGTTAGCGCTGACTAAGTCGCTTTTTTGGTTTTTGTGTAAGTGTGACATTGATATAAATTGTAGAAATAACCCTCTTATTGCTTATCAGTTTGTCCCTTTCTTTCTCTTCAGGTACAAACAGCAAGCATGTGGATCTGAAGCTGAAGAAGCTGGTGGAGGTCAGCCCAAGAGGAGTCACTTCTCCTTCATCCCCGTCTTCCACCTCCTCCTCATCGTCACCCACCGCCTCCTCCTCTACCTCCCCGCTCAGCCCTGCAGAAGGACTGGAGGTACACTGACCTCAGAGCACCTACTCTCTAGTTTTTTTACCTCTTTCCTTTCATCTCTCGTTCTGTTGTTGGTGTGTGTGTGTGTGTGTGTGTGTGTGTGTGTGTGTGTGTGTGTGTGTGTGTGTGTGT